TCAGGAACTTGGTGTGCAAAACCTCGCAACGCCATTGCCTTTGGTTCTGTGGGAATGTAAACACCGCCACCACCATTCACGATACACGTCCCCGTCGATCATAGTTTCTCAAAGACAGTAGGACAATCGCGGTGCTTTCATTTGCAGCAGTACATTTTACAGCCCTAAAAGGTTTTTAAAGGTCAGGTGCCAAATGTCTCCTTGTGAAGTCTCAGTTAGAAGCTATGATGTGCAAATACGAGTTGTTAGAGCAGTGAGTGGGAAGGCTGTAGGAAAGGAGGTACTGGGCATCTCCATTTCCACTTTGGGGAAGTGTAAAAAGCTATAAATCTTTTATCCCAGAGCCATAATATCAACTTTACCTCTGCTCAAAGCACTGAAACTATGTTTGTGGAAAATTTGGGACCACTCTTTCTACTCTGCCAGTGTACTTTGTATATGAATGGAGAACGACACGATAAATTAAATAAATGTACTTTCTTTCCTCAAAAATGTATGGAAGTCAACCCTCCTTTCGGGCAGCCTCAGACGCGATGAAAGCAGAGATGCGTTTCCCTTGGAAGCGAACGGGAGTGCAAAAAAGACATCATTAGGACTCTGAATTGGGGGCGAATTTGTGACAGTCTAGGCACACGGCAAGTTTATCAGGAACCCCGTTGGACGAGACTGATTGCTGAAGGTCAGTAAGAATGCCCCAAAATGAGACTAGTGTTTTGTAGTCTTCCTGCCAGGACTTTATTATATTTTCAGCATTTCTCATCAATCCCGCTACCTACTGAGATGAAAGAACTTGTTTTTCGTTAACTTCCAAAGCAAGATTTAAACTGTAGCTATTAGCTTAGAGGAAACCTTCAAAGGCACCTTATATTTCCGCTGACATCAGTGGACAATATGCGTTTGCTCGTGATTGGGTGGCTGCAGAGCAGGTAGGTATTCACACCTGGCAAACCTGCAGTGATTCCATGTGAGACCCAGCGATTAATCTACACTTTAAATTAAGGCAGAAAACGAGCTGGCCGACCGGCTGCAGTCGCTCCATTTAAGTCAGTATAGCCTGCTGCGACGGAGCATTTTTAATGAACTGTGATTGCTGCATCTGGTTAGCTAAACCTTTAGTAGCATGACTTTATTTTCACTCCGATGTAGTTTTATTTTTTCTTTAGCCCCACCTCTGGATTTTAAAGCTGTCTTTCTGAGTCCTCTGCCCTCCTGTGTTTGATTCGGAGGGTGACAGACCCCCTGTACCTCTGTTTGGATTGGCAGATCACTGTGGTGTGCCCAGAGCCGCATTTTCATTAAGTAGCTGGAAAACAACAGTGTAACTTAACACCAAAATACACGCTTATGAGTGAGTATAAATGCTTTTTTTTACCAGTGTTGATCTGTAATAACAAATAAATGTTTTAGTAAAGCAGTCTAGAATGGCACACTGAAGTTTGGTTTGGGTATTTACGTCAAAGGTATTTACATTTTGGGCACATACATCAAAAATACACTACTTGAAAATCAGAAACGTCTCCGGTCAATGCAAAACCGGCTCGGACCGGAGCCCAGGGCTCGTGGGGCTGGAAACGAGCCTCCCACGACCCCGCTCCTCGCACCCCGACTTCGTGTGCACGAACCACCGGCGGGGCTGGCTGCTGAGCGGGCGCGGAAAGGCG